AACATAATAAGGTAAATATAAGTTGAAATTAAGGCACAGAGGGGCGTGAGCTGCGAGAAACTATTGTCGCAAAGCACAGTTGAGAACGAAATATCACATAAGCGAGATTCTATATTACGTATTTTGCGAAATCAGAAAGCAACTGTGTTGAGTAGACTACATAAATATGGTGATTATATCCAATATTTTGTCAAAATGAGTGAAATATTCCTGATGATTTTTCGCACATCAAAAGCTGTCGGAACAAGTAAACGAAACGATGGTGAAAAAACCATGAACCAGTAAATCGTCGTCAGGGTGATCAAAACACTTATTCACACCGATCAATGAGATGTACGACTTCTGAGACCGTTCACAGGAGCTAGATTTGGGGGTTACTAACAAATCGAAAAATCGGGCGGTTTCATGGGCGAAAACTTAAATGGGTTAAACAGAAATCTACGGAGTTCTGAGAACAGGCCGATGTGACTGACGGTGACGGTCAAAGTATAATCGACAGTCGGGAAAAGCCGAAAAATGAACCTTAGGACGATGCTCTTCCTGAAGAGACAGTGAAAAAATACGCAGTTTTATACCACGTTCAAACAAGGAGTCACAACGAAGAACGAAGATAGAATTCTAAAAGGAGCATAAGCAGAGATGCATAACTGCGAAGGCATAACGACAGTTGATTCCAAGATGCATGTAACTGATGCGCCCGACTCAATGCGTGTGCCGCAGCCCACAGTTCATCACTGAGATGAGAAGGGAGGATAAAAAATTTTTGAAGGGACAAAGAACCACCAACGAACATGAATCCAGGACATACACACGAGCCGATTAGATAGCAGGGTAAATATGAAACATGCAGAGGAAGTTCCAAGACTATACAGATCTGTGAACAGGGCAAGCATAATAAAGGAATTTCGGCGACCAAAGAGCGAGCAAGCAATTATCGGGACTTCCGGCAGGCTGACCCCGATGCTAAAAACGCGGCACGTCGAAATCACTTACCCGGTAGATAGAACAGGTCGTCTCATTTGAGGCTCGTGAGCATGATGATGCTGTGCCCTTAGAGGGCCACTTCTAGAAGATCTGATAAACATTCAAGCAAGGACGGAGTAAAATTGTTCGATCAAATGATAGACTGATTAACTTTGATTTGAGATGAAGCACCTGAATTGAACACTCACAATGCCAGAAAAGATGATGAATAACCGGTTCGGGAATTACTGGGGTGTAAGCATTTCTTTGAGTTCTATTTGGATCCTGTTTCGCACAAAAAAATCCTTTGCTTTTTGCACCCGAAAAGCAAATAGGCCTACTGAGCATTGAGAAACCTGTTAAATAGAAGCCATTGTGGTGCTATTAACCACACTTAAAGACGACAGACGCGGTATCTGACCTTCCGCGCCCCTCCAGACCTAATCACAAAGAAATATTCGGAAATTTGATTTCCGGACAACTGGTAAGCTCTCACTGGAACAACAATAGGTGGATTTTTGTTTGTCCCGGGGTATCGCACCATCACAGCACGTAGAGCACGCATAGAACGATGTACTCATTGTGGTCAAACGAAGATCTGGCATGAGGATATGATAACCCCAACGAAGAGACTCAGTCACACAGCTCGCATTAGGATCCCTGGATGGAGACCGCGAGATCAGGGTAACCGATGGTTAGAGACACCGGGTGATATGATCTAGTGTCACAAACGATAACACTGGTGCTTGTACTTATTGTCCTGGCAACCTCAGTCTTCATGAATTCTCTGATATTGACTGCAACATTCGAAAATTCTCCATACTCTTTCATCCAAATGACCAATAAGAAAGACAGCAATCAAAACCACTGCACGAAGGTTGCAAAAACCGAAACTGAAAGTCAGTTAGCAGAGAGCAGGTTTAAGATCAACAGACTCTTATTCCCATTTTCCTTTCAGGATCGACTGTTGTTCACATGAAGTGTCACCTGAACGTAAGGAAAGGTTTGATGGCTACTCACTAACTGGTAAATCGATGCAATCCACCGGAAATAAAGTTGAACACATGGTTCACGATGATGTGCCGATGCCGAAACTGAAGAAAATGACTTACTTTGCGAAAGAAAGTACACGTCGACCGTAGGTTGTGGTCTGTGTTCTGTTAGGCATGAGCGGACGGCGAATGTGATCCACGTAAGAAGCCGACACACGACCACTACCCCCACATGTACCACAGGTGCTAACCAGATGAGGTTCTGCCAAAAAAGCTGGTTTCGGAGGGGGTGGTGGTCGACAAAACTCATTCTGTGTTTGCGCCAATTCCGAGAGTCGAAGTGAATGTCGAGGACACAAGTTCGAACTAGTCCTATGACCTACCGATGCTGAATGAGCATCGCAACACTCGTTCGGATGGATCAGCACGGGCATGGAACCACCGAAAGTTCCGGGTTGAAATGAGTGAGGAGATTCGGAAGGAAATTGATGCAGATCGCAAGCGGCCGACATGGATCGATCGAAAGCAAAACTTGGGTAGCGGTGCCGAGTATCACGATGACTTGTCGGATTCAAAGTGACAGAAGGATGCTTGTGAACAGGGGCGGTGGTTTTAGGGTTGTTTTGTCTTAGAATCGATCGAGGTTTAACACCTCGACAAGGATGGAAAGAAACACCTTGTTCTTGATCCAAACAATCCGTGTCTGAATCCTGTGAATCAGAACCATGAGGTGAGCAAGTATCTTGATCAGTGTAGTCTGATTCCTCATCAGCATTCCCGTCATTTTCCGGTGATTCTGACGCATCGTCACCACTGGATACATCACCGGGTGAACGGTCTAATCACAAAAAGAGTAACACGGGGTAAACAGAGTCGTCATAATATTTGCAAATATTTAATAGCTTACCTAAGAGGCAACGCAACGACAGTTTATGCATCATTCCAAGATGTCCGTTCAAATGATGATAACTGGGTAGCTGTGAATAAATTCTTCTTGATTTATTCAAACCTCGTCCGATAAATGAAAAACGCATTTTCGTGACAGCTTGTCTGTTTGCCGGTTGAATTAGATGAGATGTTTTACAGTTTCAAAAAACCTAACATACTCGAACGAGAAACAGTGAAACAGAAAACATCAGACCAATTCTCTGATGAATATGCGGGACTCATTGCCAAAGCACAACTTTGATAGGTAATAAACATTTGGAAGTGATTTCTTAATCAGTAACGCAAACCGTGAAAACCGGCCTCAGATAGGCAGTGCACGCGTCAGACGGACATATGTGTGAAGTGCATTCAATTAAAACCAAATCAGACAATGTATAACCCACTGAAGTGAAGTGAAAACAACCGATATTTCAAAGACTTACTTTGATGCCTCATATTCCGAATAAGTTCGGGTTTATATAAGCCACGAACTTTGAGGGGAGTGCATGAATTATCATGTCCGTTGTCGCATTTCGTTGGGCCATTCGATGTTACCTTGTTCTGACGCTCGCCATCTCTCCTGGATAGGAGAAAATAAAAAAATATTTATAACAAACGTGCCAGCGTCCGTCTTTCAATAATTCAAAATCCAGCGCTCTCTACGACGCAACATGCATTCGCAGGTTCCGAAATATCCTTGTAGTAGATTAGTCACTGTCTCTAATACAGAACATATGACCAATATTTATAACACACCCTTTGAAAATTAAAACCATCCTATGAAAAAAAAAATTTAAGGATAGAAAAGCAAAATCTTGGGCGCACATTATCCAACAATAGAATAAAAACTGTTGAATTTCACACTGTGAACTGAACACGAGAGCAAAAGATTAAAAATAAAAAGATATAACTATGAGTAACCTACCAACGATTATATGTGGTTCCATAGAATCGCACAGGGAATTGTTCGTGTGAAATTGATGGCTGAGGATTTGCTTCCGGTCGTTCTATGTTTACACACCCTGTTGTGCGAGAATTTTCGTAAGTGGGACACAGAAACCGGGTTCCAGAGCCGTCAGGATCACTGTGGTTTAGCTGTTCATAATTCGCTGATTGTTGATAAGCGGGTCTTTTTGTCACAGTGGAACGCGATTTTCTACCGCGGCGTGACCGGTTCAAGCCGATGTTAGTGGTTGATGGTTGCTCACGAATAAGTTTTGGTTCACTCCATAATACAGAAGCATCCATACTACCGTCCAAAGGTGCATCGTCAAGAGCCATGCGAGATGACGGCCTCTGATTGCATACTTCTTGCATCTTCTCTTGTAGAAAACGAATTCCGGCCTCAATGGCCTCCATTCGTCTGAAGCAGGAAAAAACAGATCCAATTTAATGGCAATCTAACTGTTACCTACAAATGCGGAACCCTATGAGGTCTTGTCTTGCTTGACACTAGTGCATGCACACAGGTGCAGATAGAACTCATGAGACATGATTCTCAATATTTCGATTTCTGAAATCACACTTGGACGGCGATAGCCAGGGGTAAAGAGAAATTATGTCGAAATTGGTCTTCCATTGTATTGCTCCTAATTGTCTTGGATCACTACCGGAATTCTCGCAACTTTAACCGTCACGATAAAATATCGTGTGGGTCAAAAGTAGCACCACCAAATAAGAAAACATTTGATGTAATCAAAAAAGTTATTCTTTCTAATAAATGGTTACTGTTTTATGGGGATATTTATTCTGGGCAATCTAAGTCTTTTGGATAGTGATATATATATTTTTCTAGTGGCCCAAAGTACAAACCGATATAAACTGATAGGTTCTCCATCGTAATTCAACCGAAAAAATTGCTCACAAAAACTCCGATGTCATGAAGGGAGTAGAAATATATTTCAAGACGCGCGAAAATTAACTTACGAAAGTCGACGTTAAGTTATATATATATATATGTATGTTTCACACTTGTCTGAGGACAGACTGTGTGCCAAACAAATCATGGTACAATAATCTTTATAAAAAGAAAAATGTTCCACGATTGGCTTGAGTTATATTGAGTTATATCGCTCATTGAATAAGCATTCACTATGCGCAAAACCCCAGTAAAATGCAAACGTTGTTTGTAGACAAGTGAAGCAGAGGCAACGTAGTAAAGAGGAGCGTAACTTCGGTGTCTGAGTCCCGGACATGTGTAAGTGCTCGATCTAAACAGGAATATATATATATATATATGTATATATATATATCACGGTGCTATGTGATAAGCCTTATTTCGCTCTCAAAGGTTGTCGACAGAACGAACAGTTAATATGATGCAGCGAAATTTTCAATTACTTCGTGAACTTGGACAACTATGCAGACAACGCTTTCCAACATCCTGAAGAACCAATTACCAAATAAATTGAATCAAAACTTACTTTTTAGTCGAATCATCATCATTAGGTTGCACCTCGATGGAAGCAGCGTTATAATTCACGGGTGCGCATGAATTCGTGAGTATTGCTGAAACAGTTCGACTTCCAGCTTTTGGTTTTGAAGTGGGCGCACCACTTGCAACAAAATAAGGATCCCGATTCGAGGGAAAAGAGCCCGGAAGACCACTATCGGACGGGTGTCCGAGTGTACTGTAGGTTGGTATCGACTTTGCCGTCGGACTGCTATCTGACTCAATGGTAGTCATGCGACGTTTTGTGGATTCCAGAACCAGACGTTGCTCTCGAGATCCATTTAATTTGCCGATGCGACAGCTTCTCGGTTCACTCACAGGTGGGGTCGATAAACCGCTATCTTGAGCGGAACTGGAACCATCTGAACCAGGTGCATGAGGCTGTTTTTATAGAGGGAATAGATACCAGGTGTTAAAATATATAAATTAAGCAGATCAGTCCCACGGGTGAAACAGAAATTGCGCATTGCGACTAGTTACAACAAGGACAAAGCGGCTATACAGTGCATTTTTGCAGGCCAACTCGGAAAAATCCATTGTTACGGACAACAATTCAGTTCAGTTATTACAACCATTACCATGCACTTTCGTGCGCCGGTTTTGGTTGCTGTCTCCTGGTTGCCCATTTGGATAAAGCAGCAAGATGATGATTAGAATGTTGAGAGCAGATTCAAGCGGAAGATAGCCTATTTTCATAGACTGAAGTTACAAGGATATTGAGTAGCTGCATGAGCGCCTCTGTTTGCGATACCCAGCCATATCGTTCGGTGTCTCTAACCACCGGTGACAATGATCTCTGGATCCCCAACCAGGGACCCTAATGGGACCTATGTGAAACAGTCTTCTGGTCAGGGTTTTCATACCCTCATGCCAGGTGTTAGCTTGACCGCCCCGAAATGCAGTCGTTTAGATATTACAAGTTGGGTTTAAATTCGTGACAAAGGTGAGGCAAACTATTCATCCAACCGATGCTTCACACTAGCCCAAATTGACGGAACTTAATTAATTTCGAAAGCGCTATTGTGCGCAAAAAGGCAATTGAAAATCGATCAGACTAAGCACAATGGCTGACCTCATACATCTTCCTAACAGAGCACGCAAAATGACAGTATATGAGATGCTTGGTGAAAGCTAATCGATTGCACCCGAGACGATGAAAATAAATGATCGCAAAACTACTGCCGTGCATATA